GAATTGATGGCCATGTCAGGGTATCTCCACTGGCAGACATTTTGTGGTAAGATAGAAATTAAAAATGTATACCACTTAGCAGATGTGTCTCCATTTTGTAAAAATGCAAAGACATACACATTTTTATTTCTCTGTAACTATTCATTCAAACCATGAGCAAAGGAATACGGCTAACGTAAGCATTGACCAGAGATAAGGCTCTCTTACCAGACCTTATATCTGCAAGGGGGTAGAAAGAAACAGCTCAAACACACACACACACACACACACACACACACACACATATATATATATATATAAAAAAATCATATAGACTAACTATAATTATGTTTAATCATATATAAATTGTACCTATTGGATAAAATCCCAATGAAGAAAATTTGTTATTATTAAACTAATATTAGCTGAAAGTGTATAAAAGACATGTATAGATCACATTACTGTCACATTACTAAGTGCTACACATAGTTTCACACAAAAACCAGACACAGGATTACAAGTTATTAATTTTACTTTTATAAAATTTCATGGATTGCTACAAAGATCCATTGTAAGAGAAGGTGAAACAAAGGCTAGATACATCAAAATCTACTCTATGGCCCCAAGACCAGACAGTCAGTCTAAGAAAAATCCTTTGAAGAATGACAGATATGTGATGGACAAGTATCAATGAAGATAGGAATTATGACGTCAAATGCATCACAAGATTCGATTAACCCCTTATATAAAGTGGTAGTTGGACTTGAATTTCTTGTGGTGTTACAATGCCATCTATTGACCAAAATCGATGATAACCTGTAGAAAAGATACGCCCATCTGACTATTGCTACTTTAAATTAGTGACGTAAAGAAAGTTTAGGGAAGCTTTTCCTTTAAAAATTGAGGATAGCAGAAGAGAGGGTCTTAAGTCGGCGATCTGGAGCAACAAGCTGGACACACCTAACTCTCGGTATCTCTTCCAAATCTAACACTCCAACTGAAACTTTGAAATCTTTAATAATCAGAACTACGATAACTTCATATTTACACAATTCTCTACTCAAACTTGCATACACCATTCATGGAATATATCTCCAAGACTAAATAATTTCTACCAAGAAAGCTGGTAAATATGCTGGTTTTATTTAATCTAATTTAATTTAATTATTTTTTTACTTAAAGCAGAAATATATCTGAATAAAAGCTGGTCGGATTTCAAATCTTATGAAATCATAATTAGCTAAGGAAATATATGGTTATACATTCCATTACAGCAGGTGGAATAAATGAACACTATATTTATTGGTAAGTTTAGCACACCAAGCTATTATTCAGAGATATTGACTTATCTGAATTTAGGGATAATTATTCTTTAATCAGGAAAGTTAAAAATCTGCAATGTTAATTATACTAGACTTATCTTTTGGTTACTGGATGGGAAAGGAATATTAAACTGATCTGGTATGAGAAATATTATATTTGTTAATTGCAATATTAAAGTTAATGTTAAATATAATTTTTATTTTTATTAATTACTTGTCACAATAAATTATATTTTTATAATTAGTGTGTGAAATACAAATTCTCTAATAAACTGTACTCCAGAGTCTATACGAGTTAAAATAGTGGGTACCTCTTCACTTTAAATCAATCAAGTAGAACAGTGCCAATACATACATTTTTAATATAATAAATATTATTCAATTAAATTTTGATAATTTTTATGGAAATATTATTTTTCATATTTATTACCCCATAAACATCCTCACAGCCAGTTTTGCCACAGTAAGGGGGAAAAACTTAGATCCAGGGCACTTCAAACCATACTCTACAAGGGCTATGCGCTGACGATTTATAGTGATCTCCCTTTTGCGGTGTTGGTGGAAAAGAGGAAACTAGCACCAATAGCAAGGAGACTGAAAAACAGCTCCGCGAAATATCGATGGGGGGCCGACGGTTCCCTTTCGGCAGCATCGGGGGCCGGACCAATCACCCTCACCTCCTCTGAGGATCCAGAACACTTCCTCCAAAGTCTAGACATGCTAGCTGAGGTGCAAGAGCACACACCATCTATATCTACATCCAGGAAGCAAACTGACGCCAAGGGGACTGACAAATTGACATTGACGACCCCGAGACTCACCGTGCCACCGCGGCGACCCAGGAATGCAGAAACAAAGACCCTTCCACTACTAACACCATGGAGTTCGAGGCTCACCACCTGAGCTGAACCAGCGAGTGTGCTACTCATGATGATGGCATTCCTGATCTTTCCTGAGACATGAGACCGCAGACAAATACAAGACTCTCAGTTACAGATAATGCTGTTTCTTACTCTCCTTAATTCTTTCAAAGTTTGTTTATACTGTTTGAGATACATACCCATCCACAGCATTATTTAATGGTTTGTTGTACGACTTGTGTGCAAATGCAAATAAAATACAAATTTAAAATAAAAAAACCTTTCCAATTGTGACCTCTTCTTGTACTTTAGGAGTCTTAGGGTTAGGGACAGGGCGGGGACAGAACCATACCCATGGAATAGACCCATTGAGTAAAAAACTCACTACATCCAACTTCTTCTCTCTCTCAGACTGTAAATCAGGAGTGAATAAGAGAGTGCTGGGGGACACCAGGGAGCTGTCAACAGAAAGTGTAGAGCGAGCACATCATTGGATGCATTCGTGCCAAACTTGGAGCACTGAAAGAGCAGTGTCTGCATAGTCCACCCTTTAGTTGGCCTATCTGCATGATTGGCTGGCAGCATGGCATGCATTCATGCTGGGCCTCCCAATTCTTTGGGCAGAATTTCTCCCTTTCCAAGCATCTTTTACTCCGCCCACAGACATTCTGCTTCACAGGCCAATATTGGAGTTAAGGCTTTGGTTGAGAGATGAAAGCGAGATATTACAATAGGTATATGTATTCCTATAAATGCATCCTTTGAGTTTCCCTCTGGCACCACCTCCTCCTGGCATGGCACTTGGGAGGTATGACTGTTAATTTTTTCTGTCAATAAGTTTATGTAGTTAGGCCCATCAGATAATATAAGATATAAATATATCAGTAATAGTTCAGATAGTCTAGTACTAAATGTGGGGCACAAAACATAAATATTAAGGCTTGCACTCACATTTAATAAAGCTATGTACCAGCTCTGAGTAAAACAGCATACACTGGTACAATCCCCACTTATAGATGTATAGATAGCTTTAGACACCAGTCTCTGAGCATACAGACTTATGCTGTTTTACATTATTGCATATATCTAATATTATCTGAAGTCTGGATGGTTACTAACCAAGAACTCATCTGTACACTAAGATACACATTCATCAGTGGGGATTGTACTGCTGTATGCAGTTTTACTTGGAATCTACGTTATTGCCTGTTTGCCTTATGCCCTGACCTTTTTGATACTGTACCTGATTACTCTTCTGGATTTGCCTTTGTCTGTTCCCTCGTATCCAGTTACTGTTCCTGTCTAAGCCCCTGTGCACAGATTCACAGCCCAGGTAGCTTCTTACCTGGTGACTGTGGGCTGTGTTTATCTGCAAGGGTGAGCATACATCTCTGCACTTCGGACTCCAACCAATGTAAACCATGACATAATGAACTGTTGTAGAGGATGTTTATCCACAAATAAGTAGCTTATATAGACAAATTAGAAAGTACTTTACCTTTCAAGAGATTCTGTTGCATACAGGTATCTGCTGTAAGCATCAAGCATGGATGCATGTGTATGAAGAAGGATGATATTGTAGACCACCATTGCAATCAGCATAATTGTCATCTTCAATTCATAATTTATCCGTAGAAAGACAGAACAAGAAATGAAACCCAAAATACAACTGTATATAAAGTACTGTTGGGGAAAAAGAAAAAAAATCATTGTAGATAAGCATGATTATTGAAAGCCTCACTATGCCCATTTACAAGTAAAAAAGTGCATTGCAAGAGATTCTCATACTCACATTTAGAAAAACTGGTTTGTGAAAATAGTTATTAATCTATTATTAATGTGTATACACCAATAAAACCAAAACAATGAAAAAGCGCTTAAGAAAATGTTACAAGTGTCCACAGTTTTAGTTGCACTCCCCCAAAGTGACACAAAAGAGACGCACAGTAAATCAGAAATACCAAAAAAAGTAGGGTGTTAAACTGCAGTGGATGTCGTATCTTCAAGTTATACTCTGAAAACAACAACATAAATAAACATAGTGCAGACTATCTGATAAAACAACATAAATAGTGAGGGGTGTCTGGGAGATAATTCCCATGTACCAGAGCCCTATCATGCCTTTCTCTGATTTGAAATGCTGGCGAAATGCATCATGGAGGATGTCATTAAGAGGTGGATTCATGAGTCTCACGTGATCAGCAATCAGCTTAACCCCGAAGTAACTGTGTGCTGGTGGTGTTTTATATTTTACACACTTGCTACGTTGTGGGTAGTTTGATAGCATACCCACCACTACCAAACTAAGAGTTTTTAAAAATCTTTTATGTTAAAAAGAAGTTGAGATAATATTTAATGGGGAGGTCCTGCCTCTCTATTTTTCTCCTATATACATAGGGGATTTATGCAGACCTGACTGAGCATCCTGATATCCTACTGTGGGAATTTTCCCTCTCAAGTGAAGCATTTTACACACTGGGCCAGGGGTGATAGGGCTCTGGTACATGGAAGTTCTCTCTCAGACAGCCCTCACTATTAATGTTGTTGTATCAGATAATCTGCACTATGTATATTTATGTTGTTATTTTCAGAGTATAACTTGAAGAAAGTACATCGACTGCAGTTTAAGCGCTACTTTTTTAGGTATTTCTATTATTAATGTGTGCTAGACTTTTCTGGATTAGTTGCAAACATGTCATTATATTTAATATAGATTTGAAGAAAGGTCAGTACAATGATAAATATTTAAATGTAATATGTTCAATAATACATGTGGTTATCAACAAAAGACAAAAAGATAAAGTCAATAACTATTAGTTTATCCACTTGATAGTGTTGTCTGCAATTTGGTTGGATATCATTCTCTTGTAGTTCCCTTGTTTGCATATTTTCAAGCATGAACCTTTTTTTTTTTTCTTTGTAGTGAATACAGTTATGGACATTCCCTACACTATCCCAAAATATTAAATTTTTCTTTAGCCATGGTGATATAGAATTGATTTGGGTGGTTCTTACCATTGTTTTCTGAAGGACTACAGAGTTCTGAAACTCTTTGTAGGTTTCTTGTAACTTTTGATTGTGGTAGGACAAAAACTACTGTCTAACTACAGTTTGGATAATATATGCTTGAATGTTATTGGAGATTCAAATTGTTCAAAATTGCTTTGTAACCCGTGTTAAGATGTTCATTACATTGTGTATTAAATCTTAAATCTGTATAAATGAAATAATGGTAGAATAGATAAACTCATGGATAACATTTGTCGTTAACATTTTGTTTGTTTCTAAGAGAAGGTAAAGGGGGCTGATGCTATTTTGTAACACATATAACTAGAAATATTATCAATGTTGTTAATTATAAAGTCACACCTGCTGTGAGAAATCCTCCAGTGACGTTCTAATTTAAATTAACAAGATCACAATGTGCTTCTCTTTCATTAGTCATAATGCCTAAATTACTTCAGTGATTTTGCAGTATTTTCTCATTTCCAAACAAAAGAACTTTAAATAAACAGTTGACCCTGATATCATAAGTTTTGTACTTGGATTAATAGGAAGTCAGTTTTACTGTAAAGTAAACAAAAAATAAAATGTTATCAAGAAGTCATCTGAACGTGCATACATTAAAAGGGTACTACTGGGGCCAATTCAAACAACATACAAGATCCAGAGCACTTACTCATTCACTATACAGCAATTTCAAAGCTCACAGAATGTAGAAGTTTTATTTAAAAACCCCTCATCTATATAAATGTAATGTGGATTTAGTTACAGTATAGGATCATACATGCCTGCCACAATGCCAATGTACCCCATTTTTGGCAGGTCCAATCTAAACTAAGAAAACTAGAGTTCCAGGAGGAAGGATTTCCCAAGTAAGTAGATTCATATGATAAGAGAATGCATTAGATTGCTAGCTGTATGACAAAACAGTCATGCTTTAAATACATTGTTGTATACACAGGGCCATATTTAGTATTGCTTGGGCCCCCTGGACCCACTCACTGTCATGTAATCACGACTTCCACCCCAATATAATGGCAGAACTAAAATAGAAAGAGCCTCCCAATTGCATGGTTGGACAAAGGGTATCCTATCTATAATGCAACTCCAACAATGTTTTGTAGCTGGGGCTCTACCAATTTCCCATGCTTGCAGGGTTGTATGTAGCACTCTGTTTGTGTGTTTAATGTAAGCATGTTTTTGTATAGAATATGTTTTTGTGAATGTGTTTGTAATGTGATATTAGAGTTTGAATGCAAGCGTGCATTTATGTGTAGTGTTGGTTTTTGAATGTTTGGGTGCGTATATATATATATATATATATATATATATAAATATATATATATATAATTTTGGTATTTGTGTTTGTATTTAGTGTTGACGTTTCAATGCAGGAGTGTGTTTGTATGTAATGTTGAAGTTTGAATGGAAGGATTTGTATTTAATGTGGGTGCTCAGATGCTCAGACACTCATGTACACACACTGACACACATGCAGATACACAGATACACACAATGACTACATACAGATATGAACACCAACACACACACACACCCACTGACAACAGATACACAGACACATACAGATACATAGACAGATAAACTGACAGACACTTATGACACAAATACATACAATGACAGACATACTGGCACACACAGACACATATACTGGTAGACATACTGACACACACAGACACCGGGACATACTCACACATACATTCACATACACTGACAGAAATACTGACACACACGGACCGTATGTTACACTGTCAGACATACTGACACACACACACATACACTTACTGACACACACACACACACACACACACAGATACACAGATATACTGTCACACACACACATACTAACACAAACAGATACACAGACAGACATACTGACAAACACACACACACTTACTGGCACACACACAGATACAGACAGACATACTGACACACACACACACACACACACACACACACAGATACAGACAGACATACTGACACACACACACACAGATACAGACAGACATACTGACACACACACACAGATACAGACAGACATACTGACACACACACACACACACACACACACACAGACATACTGACACACATGTCAAATTTTTATTTTTAAACCCACCATCCAGTTTCCTACCTTTTGCTGGAGGATGGCTTCCCTGAGGGTGGCTACCTCCTCAACTACAGCCCCTATCTCCTCAACTACAACCACCATACCCAAAATATACCCTACAGCCCCTATGCTCCCCAACACACACTATTTACAATAATTTACACATTTATGGTATTTGGTCCTTGTCAAGGTCACTCACATTTTTTTGCTTGCTCATTTTTTCTGCTCTCATTCCATAAAACTCAAGACTTATTCACTTATCCCACTCCTTGACAAGTGCCAGTGTACTGATATAATCAATGTTATTCACTTTACCAGTGGTTTTAATGTTGCTCAGTGTATATATAGGCGTCCATTTTGTGGTTTCTTCTTTTGGCCCTTTTTGTTATTATGAAGTTACCCCTTTCTCAGATGAAAGCAGTCTAGGGTTGTATTTATTGTACATTCATTTACTTTTCTTTTTTCCCCTACTGAACAAAATAGCACATACAATAACACAATTGTAATTTAAAACAATACATACATTATTACATGGAACAAACAACTAAACTCTCTCCTCACCCACCAACTCAGCTCTGACTACTCCAGACCCTTTTCCTCAACCCTTGGGTCAAATCATAAGATACAAATATTATCCAATTGAACTAGAATATCTTCTACTTTATCTTAATTAAAAGCATTCACCAGTATACCCTATGTCTCCTAAACATACCCTTTTTGCTCTTCAGTTAAACTACTAAATTGGGTTCTATATTCCTCTATTCATTCAATGTATTAATCTAATTTTCTATTGAAGGACAGTTATGCTTTTTTCATAAACTATCTATTAAGGTTTTAGCCATGTCAATGAGCCTATTAACTACAGAATACTTCAGACTGAAAAATCAGTGTGAAAAATACTAATTAGTTCTTGAATCAAGTGCAAGCCTGGAAAAAAATGCTTAATAAGCTCTCAATTTTTTTCCCAAAAAGGGACAATGATCGGACAATTCAAAACAATATGCACAGGATCCCCTTTTTGGAGTTTGCATCTCCAGTATTTATCACTGACTTGAGGGGCAAATCTATTTATTCCCACTGGGATCTATAAACACTGGATAGTAATTTATAAGCTTGCTCTTGGTATTTAACTGCCTTCGAATAATCCTTTATTAGTTTAGAACATTTATTACATTCTTGAGGTTCTAAAAGTAGCCCTAGAACCATTTTCCATAATCTGAAAAAGTAAGGAAATTCTAAGCACTCTGATAATATTAATATTTTATACATTTTAGAAATAGGGTATGGTACTATTTTCCTTTGAACGAACAGGTTTTTAAATTTCAAGAGCTTCATTAGGAATAAAAGATAAAATTTTAATGAATTTAAAAAAGTTAACTGTAAATAAAAAAAAGAGCTATCATTATGGACAAAATTGCTACTAAGAATTGTTTCTTTGGGAATTAATTCACCAGTCACCAGGCTGATAATGTCTCGCTGTCTAATACTTAGATTCTCAGATGTAGATTGAGAGAAATAAGGAGTAAATTCTTTACCAGGAGGGAAATCGCCATTATTCATTACTTATTGCTTTTGCTAAGCAAATAGCTTTATTTTTTTTCAACTTTTCATTCTTTTTTCTGATGCTGCGCATTGATACAAGGATTTAAAAAATGATGTACTCTTAACTAATACATTTCTTATGTGGTTTGCTCCAAACAGAGCAGTTTTTGTGCATTTAACGATTTTTTCATGATAATTATTATTCATAACTTAAAATTATTTTATAGGAGCTATTATGGGAACAATATACATGTATATATATAGGCTGAGCCGTAGTCAGAGCCTGTAATTGTGGGAAGGGTTATCCGGCCTCTAAATACACAGGCCTCCCCTTCCTTTGGGCTGATATTTCCTGGTTCAGTACAGAACTATCTATTTGTGGTTCAAATGTCATCAACACAAACTACATGAATTCTAACAAGCTGGTCTTCGCCTTGTGAGGCCTACGCAAGTATTCCAAAGTATTCAAAGCTCATGTGGCATCGCAGCGACTTTTCCTGATGCTGTTCTCGCTTTTTCTTTTTACAACAAAACCGTAAGTTTGTTTAGCCCACATTGAGCCATGCTATCACTGACATCCAACATGTATTCAGCCTACATTCAGCCTTTCCCAAACTATGGTGGCACTGCAGTTCAGCTTGTATTCATACATCGTATCACATTGATACCTCAATTTTGTTCATGCATTCTGCTTACTGTATTCGACCACAGTCAGCCATATCGTATTTCACCATATGCAACTCAGTTAGTCACCCTGCATTTTAATGTTTAATAAATGCTGTGCCATATATTTAGTTTTTTTTATATTTGTAGCTTATTATTGTCAGCCCACACGGCCTTGGTTATACTTGTCAGCTTTGAGCTCATCAGCATTTGTTACCTATGTTCACCAGGCCTCATCCAGCTTCAGTACTTACATGTATTCTATATGTCTGTCATCAAACTTGGGCTTTCACATGTGGTTAGCATTTATGGTACTGCCTGTTAATACTCTGCCTTATTTTACTGTCTGCCACTATTTAAATTGTTTTAAAGGACCACTATAGTCACCCAGACCACTTCAGCTAGCTGAAGTGGTCTGGGTGCCAGGTCTCCCAGGTTTATACCAGAGGAACTGCTATGTTTACATTACATGGTTAATCCAGCCTCTAGTGGCTGTCTTCCTGACAGCCGCTAGAGGCGCTTCCCCGACACTCAATGCAAAAATTGAATTGAGCACGCAGAACGTCCATAGGAAAGCGGCTCTGGCGGGGGAGGGGGAGGAGAGGTCACCAGCGCCGAGGGAGCCTGGCGCTGGATAAAGGTAAGTGGCTGAAGGGGTTTAACCCTTTAGACCTTAAGATTATATAGTGCCAGGAAAACAAGTTTGTTTTCCTGACAC